AGACAACTATTAATTAACCAACAGACATATTATGTACCAGAAGTTTACCTGTGAATCAGTTTTGAACTTGGACAGAAAGCATTTTCAGATAGACCTAATATTACATAATAGACTTTGGTTCCAAGTACAGCATACATATGCCATTGTAATCAGTAACTTAAATTATGAGAATTTATATTATGATACCATATAGTTCTTTTTTAAAAAGAATTATTTTATTTAACTTTATTATTATTATCATTATTATTTGCCAGTTTGATCAGAGAGAGACAGAGAGAGAGAGGAAGTGAGAAAGCAAGCCACCAGGTCCGAGACTTGAACCGTGGTTGGCCATGTGGGAGTCCAGTGCCCCTATCCACCACTCCACCTGCCGGCCCCCCCGTATAGTTCTTATTATGTTCAAGGCACTGTTCTCAGTGCTTCATATATATTACTTATCTAATCCTCTTCACAACATGCCTATATAAGATGGACACTATTATCCCTATTTCACAGGTGAAGAAACAAAATCACAATAAAATCAAGCAACTTGCCCAAGATCACACAGCAAGTAGATACTACTACCAAATGATCACAGTGAGGTTTCTAAAAGATAATTATATCTCAGATCCCAATTCTGGATCACAAACCACTTTATCCCCAGCACTGAGACTGGCAACTTCCTTTTCCCCTCAACTACCTATACTAGACAAAGAGATTCCCTAAGGTCCCATAGCTTAGAGCTAGCATAGTGCCTTCAAAATCCTAAATGGCACTCTTTAAGTCTGGGCCAGCATTCTAGCAACCTACCTTTCCTTTTCAGAATATTAAAGATTAGTTTACCTTCTTCTCCTACTTTCTATTACTATCTTACTCCCAAATTAGAATTCCCTTCCTCCTTGGGTCACAAAAACAGAACTAAGTTTTTGAAAGATATTCTTCTATTCCTGAAGCAAAAGTACACCTTGTATTTTAAGTAATTAGGAAAACAAAGAATAAAATGCACATCAACCCCACAAAGAAATGTCTTGAAAGCTCCCAAGAATATGGGTAAACACTTCTGTCATGAAATTAAGTGGGGAGATGGGACCACGGTTGGCATAATGGCTGTGTCACTGGACTCCCATGTAGTCAATCGCGGTTCAAGTCCTGGACCTGGTGACTTAAACTCACACTAGGCGTGTGTGTGTGAGTGCCCAAGATTCCAAGAGGAGCATTGAGAAGGGATTGTGGAATGGCCATCACCCCAGGGGGTGATTTCTCGCTTTCTGTCTCTTTGTCTCTGTCTTTCTGGTGAGCACATGTGTCCTATGGCAAAAACCTCTCCAAAAAAAAAAAGAAAAAGAAAAAGAAATTAAGTGAGGAGAAAGCAGGAGAGCAAACTGTATACATAATATAGTCCAGTCTAAACTGATGAAAAGAGAAAGGCATTTAAAAAAAAAAAAAATCACCGGGAACCAGCAGTTAGCGTAATGGCTATGTCGCTGGATTCCCACGTAGTCGACCGTGGTTTGTGTCCCGGAACCGGTGGCTTAAAACTCACGCCGGGCGTGTGTGCGTGCGTGCGCAAGATCCCGAGAGGAGAATGGAGGAGAAGGGATTGCGGCGTGACCATCCCCCCTGGGGGGTGATTTCTCGCTTTCTGTCTCTATGTCTCTCTCTGTCTGTCTGGCAAGCGCACGCGCCCTACAGTGAAAATCTCTCAAAAAAAAAAAAAAATCACCAAGCTATTAATAAAAAGTGGTTACTGACTAGTAAGATTTTGAGTGGTATTTAAAATTTTTCTTGCCTTTTTATAGTATTAAAAAATTTAAACTATAATGTTTAAAATTGGAAAATATAGCTTTTTTTCAAGGTTTTTGCAATAGGGCTCATGTACTCACTGGAGAGAAACAGGGGAAGTGAGAAATCATGCCCTGGGTGGGATGGCCATGCCACAATCCCTTCTCCTCCGTTCTCTTTCTGGGATTTTGGGCACACATACACACACACACACACGTGCCCTACATGACTTTCAAGCTGCCAGGTTCATGACTCAAACCGTAGTTGGCCATGTTGGAACCTAGTACCTTAACCACCATACCACCTGCTGACCCCATATACATTATTTGTTTAAAAAAATTCTTTCTCTTAGTCTAATGTGTTTCTTCTACCCATACTTTTAAAGAAAAAAATGCTGTATTTGAATTATCTCAAAAGCAAAAAGAGGGTTTAAATAAGAATTTCTTCCATTCAAATTACTGAAGGCTCACTGAACCTTAACATTTCATCAGTACAGTGTAACAGAAGTCAAAAGGGTGGGATAAATGAGGACAAAGGACTGTCCACTCTTTTCTCCTCCTATGTGTTTTCTTAGTCATTGTCAATCTAATCAGTACTGATTCATACCTTTTATACCCAGGTTAATGAATTTCTTAAGGGAAAGGCCTAGGTATCAATCATCATCTTAACCCCAGTACTCAGGGTCATTACATTAAAAAGCAAAAAATGGGGATAAATATGTTATAATCAAATGAAAAGTACAAACGAGATAATACCTGCCTATATAGGACTTATTATTTGGTCGTTGAGGCAATCATAAATATGTTACATATATCATATCTGAAGTATGAGGGGGCACATAATAGGGGCACAAATGAAGGAAATGTTTACGTCTACCTGGGGACTCAGATCTTGGTTTATGAGGAGTTTGGTTTCAAAGATAAATAGTTATGTGCCACTAAATGACAGGGATATGTTCAGAGAAATGGGCTGTCAAGCTTCTTCGCTGTGCAGACATCATAGAGCATACTTACACAAACTGAGATGATACAGCCCACTCCACACCTTAAATATATCATATAGCACGTTACAATCTTACAGGACCATCATTGTATATGTTGTTTGTCGTTGACCAAAACATCATTATGTAGTACATAAATGTACAAATTTTCTAGGTATAAATAAAGGAAAGAAGGATTTCAAGCATGATAGCATATATAAGGGTACAATAAATAAAAGAGCATGGTAGGAGAAATGTGCATATAAATCAACTGGAGATCTTATCAAAATGAAAATTGGGCGCTGGCCCTATAATGCAGCATTTAAGTGCTCTACATGGGATACCAATTCTACATGGACAACTATGGTTCAATTCCAGGCCCAAAGGCTTGAAAATCACTGTACTGCCTGGGCCAACAAGCTCAGAATCCTAGGGGAAAGAGGAATGAAGGAAATGGGACTGTGCTATAACCAGGCCCCATGGTGGGGTATTTTCTCTCTCTCCCTCTCTGGCACTTGCACATACCCTCAATCTGGCATTAAAAAAATATTACAGATTGATTCAGTAGGTTTAAAATGAGGCCTGAGGGGCCAGTCCCATGGCCTAGTGGCTAAAAGAGCCAGGTCCCACGTGGCCAACCATGATTCAAATCTAGGCCCTAACAGTTTGAGAAACTCAACAGGCACATCTGTACACGCGCACATGTGCCCCAAATCATGACAGAATGGAGAAATGGAGAAAGGTAATGTGGCATGACCATACCCCACTGGGCGGAGGTGCTTTCCTTCTCTCTGTCTCTGTCAACTATGTATGGTTGCTAGAAACAAAAAATAACAACAAAATAATCAAATGGAGCTTGAGAGTCTGTTTTGAGTATTTGTTTTCATTTTCTTTTAAATTTCTTATAGGGTGTGTGTGCTCACCATAGAGAGAGTAAGGAAAAGTGAGACAGCATCCTCCCCCTCATCCCCTGGAAAATGGCCATGCTGCAATCCTTTCTCCTCCATTCCTCTCATGGGATTCTAGGTGTGTGTGCATGTACACACACACACACACGCACACACGCACACGCACACTAATAGGTCTAGTGGGATTTTCAAGCCGCCAGGTCCAGGACAATCAGTCATTTGGGATCCAGCTGCCTTAACCACTGTACTACCAGCTAGCCCAAGATTCTGTATTTCTAACAAGCTTTCATATTATGCTGATGATGCCAGTCTATAAACACTACAGTTTAAGCAGCAAGAGACAGGGTGCAGATAGCATAGTAGTTACATCACTACACTCCCACATGGCTGACTATGGTTCAAGTCCTGGGTCCGGTGGCTTGAAATTCACCCTAGGCACATGTGTACCCAAGATCCCAGGAGGAGAATGAAGGAGAAGGGATTAGGGATTGCAGCATGGCCATCTCTTGGGGGCGGGGGGAAGAGGGGGCAAGGGGGAGGAAGAGGGGGCAAGAGGGGAAAAGAGAGGGGGGATTTCTGGGGTGTGATTTTTCACTTTCCTTTTACTGTCTGTCTCTCTCTCCTCATCCCTGGTGCTCACATGCTCCCTAAGAGAATTTAAAAAAAGAAAAAAACTCTTGAACAAAAAAAGAAAAAAAAAAAAAAAAAAGCAAGGTGTAAGGGCAACTATTAACAACTCTGTAAACCTACACATATGGCTAGAAAGAGCTAACATATTGACTTAAATAAAAGCCTAACCTAAAGATGGTAAATTGTTTGACTACCAAAAGTAGTTTGGCTTAATAGAAATTATTCTGCCATAATAAGCAATAACTTAGTACTCATGAATTTTAAAAATTAGACTAGGATCATGAAACTGTAACAACTAATGACGAGCCAGAAGATGGCGTAGCTGTTACATCACTGGACTCTCACATAGCCAGCCACGATTCAAGTCCCGGAGCCCGTGGCTTGAAAAATCATGCCAGATGCGTATATGTGCATGCCCAAGATCCCGGGAAGAGAATGGAGGAGAAGGGATTGCAGCATGGCCATTCCCCCTGGAGACTGATTTCTCACTTTTCTACTGTCTCTGTCTCTCTCTTTCTCCAGCAAATGCACATGTCCTAAGGCAAAAACCCCTAAAACAAACCCAAAACACACACAAAAAACTAATGAAAAAATGGGGAATATAAAGGAAATATAAAGAAGATTTTAAAAAGAGGGAAAATAACAAGTGTGCAATATTCACTTTTTTATGCTATAGTAAGTCTGAAGTTAAACATCCATCAAATCAGAAAATTTTTACTTACAAAGTCATCTTCACCTTCAGTTAAACCATAATTAGGCAACATAGCTCCCTCCATTGTGGTACTCTTGAATACTCCTTTAATTTTGCTACCTATTCTGCTGATGCCAAATGATTCTCCTCTTTTCTGTGTGCTTCTAAATATTAAACAAAAATGTATCAAGTACATAGCAAAATTATTAGAACAGTCTAATTTACTATAAACAATAACAAAGAAAATGAAAAATAGATTTGAAAACAGTACATTGAAGGTATAGTTCACACAATTTTTAGAGTTCTTAGTCATAGACTGTCTCAACTTTTCAGAAGCCAAAATTGACAAAACATTTATAACTTTTAGGAATGAATAAATGAGACAATATTTATTAATAAACATTTGAAGTTTACCTATTATTGACTTCAAAACACGAACTGAACTAAAAATTTTTAAAGATGAGAGCCTCCTAGTGGTATATAGTTCTTACTGCCACATACATTTTGAAATAGCAGATAAATGAATGTGTTAAGACTTAAGTTCAGAACAGGACACCCATATCATAAAAAATATAAGCTCATGACCTAATTAATACTTCACTTTCAGATGGAACTTAAAAAGAAAACTGTCCTCTTAAGACTGACTGACAAGTGTCTAAGTAAAGTTCAATTCTACTACCATGCAAGTATTTAAAAGAGGAATGAAGTATAAATACATCTTATTTAACTTCAAAGAATAAAAAGAAAAGATAAATGCCAAAGAGAACATAAGGATAAAAGCAAATGCAGCCCAAGGAAACAGCCTGCTTTGTCATAAATATTAAATTTTGGTTTTGCAATTTTTTTCAGCAGTTAATTCTAAAAGCTGAAGAGTAACAACAAAATGCTAAAAGCAGCAAAGTTTACTCCCAGAGAACCTAGTACCTCACATTTCAGCAAATAAAGCTAAATTTATAAAATTTAAACTCTCATGCACATTATGTTACTGCCTTTATAATAGCCAAATAAAAATGAGATTTTAAAATCTGAGAAAGTTTGTTTTGAAAGCTTAACTTGGGACCAGCAGTTGGCATAATGGCTATGTCAGCGAGCTCCCATGTAGTCAACTGCGGTTCAAGTCCCAGACCCAGTGGCTTAAACTCATGCTGGGCACGTGTGCATGTATGTCCAAGATCCCAAGAGGAGAATGGAGGAGAAGGAATTGCGGTGTGCCCAGCGCCCCCGGGGGGTGGGGTGGGGAGGTATTTCTCACTTTCGGATAGCTTTTATAATCCTGTAAGCAAAATTGAAGTCATCTACTGAATCAATGCAATAATTACAGAAATAAAAGTAAACTGTTCAATTTTCAAATATACCAGGAATATAATGACATGTATAATTTATAGGTCTGAGGAGAAAATCTAATTTTAAAACTGGAAAAACACTAATAATAAATAGTAAGTAGTAAAAAGGGTACTTAAGCCAGATTTTATCTAAACAAGTATGCAATTTCTAAAAAAAAATCCAAAATTGTAGGGGGCGGCTAGCAGGTGACACTGTGATTAAGACACTGGACTCCCATATGGCTGACAATGGTGATGGTTCGAGTCCTGTACTCGGGGTGATTTCTCGCTTTCCCTCTCATTGTCTCCGGCAAGTGCAAGTGCCCTATGGCAAAAATCGAAAAATAAATAAATAAAAACTCCAAAAGACAAACAAAAAATCCCATAAGCTCCTTAAACACAAATAATTCCAAAATAATTTAGCAAAATTAACAATTAAAATAAAATTCAACAGCTTTGAAAAAGCAAGATACTGGTAAAATAAATAATGAAAATATCTTAAAAGTATCAAGATATTTTTATTCTACAATGACATATATCATGTTATTTAAAAAGAAGATAACTAGCCCCAGTCACGTAGCTCACACTGGTAGACAATAATACTCGGCAAATTGAAAACCACCTAGGAGGCGTGGGTTCGATTCTTAGCCCACCCTAAAAGGGCTCTATGGCATGTTTCTGTAGTCCCAGCTATGAGAAACTGAGTCAGGAGGAGAATCACAACATTGTCTTTAAAAAAAAAAAGAGAGAGAGAAAAAGAGTTAATTTCTAAAATCAAATTAGAAATTAACTGACTGACTGATATAAAGGCAGGAACAGCACACTGTAGACATAAAACATGTCTACACAAATGTAGACATAAAACATATTTATTTTTTTCTTTTTAATTGTACTTCAGTTGTACAGAATGTACTTTCTAGATTTAAAAAAGGTTATTTACACTGAAAAGAATTACATGCTCAAGACTTACCGAAAATCATCCAAACTTAGGCTACCTCTGTAATAACAGATTTGTGAAATTATGTAGGG